TGGCGGGGGGGGGGGGGGTCCAGGGCCATGGAAGGAGCCGCTGGGATGCTGATGCCCAGGTGCCCCTTTGGCAGCCCAGGACAGGGGGCACCAAAGGAGCCGCGCGCCTCTGGAGCAGACTGGGGAGCCGGCTCGGAACGCCCCCTCGGCAGCACCCCGGAACGGGGGCTGGCGCCTGCCTGGGGGGCTGCCCCTCACCGTCTTCTGTCGGGCTGGACCCAGCCCTGGGGGCAGGTTCCAAGAGACTAGGCCCAGAAATGGCGGGGCACGGAGCCGAAGCCACTTCCCACACGGCAGGCGTTCTGCCTGCGGCTGAGAGCACGGGAAGGAAGGGTCCAGGCCGCTGCGCCAGCTCCCGCCTCGCGGCCATCTCTTCTGACAACTCTGCTGGCCCCTTCTTGCCCGCCCCGGGCACAAGGTCTGACGAGGGGAAGGGAAAATGACCCATTTCCGGATCTCCATACAGCTGCAATTCAATTACAGAAGGAAGGCGAATTCCCGAGTCTTCACAGCCCCACTAATTGCATAATTAAGGACTGAGATGCCAGGAAAACAATTACATTCCCTGCCTCAGTCATTAAGGACCCGCGATCATCCCCGAGCGGGATTTCCTTCTGCTGGGGACGGGGACGGGCCTCTGGTGAGGCGCTTCGTCTGCGCAGCAATTTGGCGAGCGGCTCTTTGGCGGCTCTGGCGCAGCAGGCAACGTGCGAACCCAGGCATACGTGTGACAGCCCTCTCCTGCCGGGAACCCGGGAGCGCACCGACACACGCGTGCATGCACACGCACAGCTGCCCTGCAATCTGGGGGGGAGGCGTGAAACCGCAGCACCCCCCCCCGCTGCGCACATGCAGGCGCACGCAACAGCTGTGGGCCGCCCGACGACACACAGGCGTTTCGCACTCCGGCAGCTGGAGGGGGGGGGTGCTGAGCAGCTCTCCCGTGTCAGATGCCGCCGGCGCTTGCCCTTCTGCGGTGGCTCCGCTTATTTATTCTTTAATGTAGGTGGGAGGTTTAGCGCTTATTAAAATTTTAAAATATCTTCGGCTACGGAGCAAGGAGTGTCATTTTCTTGTCTTACGCCACTGCCTTTAAGACTAGTTAATTATAAATAAGGCTCCAGGATGAGGCATCCGCCCTGCCCAGACGCTCTGCGAGGGCCCCACACTTGCAGGGGGGCAGGGAGAGGAGAGCTCGGCGCCCACATCTGGCTCCGCCAAGGCCTCTTCCGAGCGAGGCGCTGGGGGGCCCTCCACCGCCTCGGCCACAGCAGCAGCCGCGTGCCGCTCGCTCCGGCCTGCTGCAGCGCCGGGGGCGGCGCAGGGGGAACGACAGCCTCCCGAGCGGCCTGCAGGAGGAGAAGACCCCTCGGGGGAGGGCTGCCTGGGGTCGGGGCCCTGAGCCCCAGAGCCGGCCTGGGCCGGGCGCACGCGAGCCACATCCCCGAGCAGGCAGCTCCGGAACGGTGGCCACCGGGAAGTGGCACAGGGGGCAGGGCTCCGGAGCACAGGGTGGCCGCCGAACCCGGGGCACTGCCAAGGCAAAAGAGGCGCCACTGTGATTCGGAGCAAGCGGGACCTTGGGGGCAGCGAACCAGCAGAGGACACGGATGGGACGCCCCAGAGCGTCCGGAGTGAATGCCTGGTGAAACAGGAAGCCTGCCCAGAGGCAGCAGGGTGATGCTCCCTGGAAGGGCAAGCCTGCCCCACGTGCCCTCGTGCGGCTCCCCAGGCCTCTTGTCTGGGTGCTGGCGTGGCTGACACGAGGAGCATGTGGCCAGGTGCCACCTGACCGGCCAGAGAGGGGGCACAGGGCTGCGTGCAGGCACACCGCTCTCCCCAAACGCTCCTTCTTGTGCACTGCCGAGGGACGAACGCGCAGGGAGCTCCCTCAGATCTGTCCGAGCAGCAGCGGGGTCTGTGGGCAGGAAGGACAGGCAGGGAGCCCGGCCCGGCCCGGCCCGGCGACAAGCAGGAGGCCCCACGTGTGCCGCGGACATGGGGCCAAGGCATGATGGTCAGCACAGAGAGCGTGACTGCGCCATGAACAGCACCAGGGGGATCCACCCTGCTTCCTCTGGGGAGCTTCCTTCCTTCCTTCCCCTCTTCCATGCCCACTTTGCATCCTCACAGCCACCACCTCACGAGGTGGGTTTGGCCGGGGGGGGGGGGAGGGGGCTGGCCGAAGCTTGTCCAGGGCCTTCAGAGCTGAGGGGAGACAGGCACCTGGGTCTCCACGGATCCAGGGCAGCACCTTGCCCACCGAGCCGCGCCTGGCCCTGCCCGACTTGGCGCCAGGCTGCCTGCACGACAGCGGATGTGGTCGTGGGCCTTTTCTGTCCCTTTCGGACAGAGCGGGATGGAGGCGGTGCGTCTTCCCCAAACTGCATGCCTTCGTTGCCTCGCAGCGGCCCAGCACGCCTGGCGTGGAGCACGGGCGGGGGGGGGGGCAGAAGAGGCAGCGAGAGCTGAGCCAAGAGGGAGCACGTGGCAAAGTGGCCCGGCGTGGAGCAGGTCCCAGGCCCGGCGCCTCTCCTCCCTGCCAGGCGCGGCTTCGAGGCAAAGCCCCTGGCCCAGGGCCAGCCGTGGAACATCGGGTGCCGCTTCACCGGACACCGTGCCCGCTGCCACACCGAGCACGCTCAGCTTCCCCGCGGCGCCTGGCTGAAGCTGGCCGCGTCGCCGGCCTGCCGGGCTGCCTGGGGTCCCCCGGCCAGGCCGCACGGCCACAGATGCTGGCGCCTCGTCCTGCCTTGCAGGGGTCCGACCCGGCACCCGCCCCTTCGTGGGCTCCTCTGTGGGGAGACTGGACTGCGCTCTCCGCCACATCTGCCCCCCCCTTGGGACCCGCCCCCCACAATGCATCAGGCACAACTGCCATCTGCTTTTAGCTTTCTGGCTTACCCGGCCTTTCCCTGCCATCAACTAGTCCAGAAGTTGCTGTACTTTTACAACCATACGGTCCTTTAGCATCTCTTGCAAACAGCTTCGGGATTTTTAAAATGGGAAACAGGGCAGAATCATTCTAAAATCAAATGGATTTCGGCCACCCAAACTCGCCCCCGTGGCCTGTGGCCCACTGGCTCCACGCCCAGCAGGCGGCACGCCTCAGCCCCCCCCCCCCCCCCCAGGCCCAGGGGGGCGGCCAGCACCTCCAGGGGCTCAGCGGGGAGAGTGATGGGGGAGCGGGAGGAGGGCCCCCCACCGTTCTTCGCCTCTGCTGGGGGAGGAAAGCCCGCAAGGAGATCTGCAATCGACTGAATTCCCCCACAATTAGCAGCAGCTCAATCAGCGCTCAGGGTCATCTTTTCTCCCGTGAGATCGCCATAGCAACAGAAGCAGGAGTGGGCTGCCAGCCCGAGGCTGTTGGCACCGAGAGCCGGTCCTGGGGCGGGGAGCCACCATGCCAGCGTGCTTGCCCCGGGAGCGCCCCGAGGGGAGATGGCTGCCCACACTCCCCGGCCTGAGCACCGTCTCCTCGGCGGCGGGGCGGCTGCCTCCCACTGCCTGGGCTCGGCCACCCGCGGCTCCCGGTCCCAGGGGAGCTCCGCTCGGGCCCCACGTGGCAAGGGGCCTGCAGGGGACACCCTGCGCCTGGCGCCAGCCAGAGGGTGAGGTGCCAGCTCCCTGGGAGCCCAGGGCCGCCTCCCCATCGGCGGGGGGCGCGACAGAGGGCTTCCCCAAGAAAGACGGCCCTGGCAGCTGCCCAGGGCAGCCCCCCCACCCCCCAGTGCCGAGGCCAGTCTGGCTGGGCAGCGAGGCAGCCCCCCCCCCCAGGAAGACTGCGCCCCCCCCCCCCACTGCTGCAGCAGCACTCCTGGGCTGCATGAGATCCCGGGGCTGGCTCGGGCCCCACACCCCCACGCAGCCAGCCCCCCCCCCCCATTTGACCCCAGGGGGGCGGTCCCCCTGCTGCCCGGGCTGCAGGCCGAGAGAAGGGGGGCCCCCGCCGCGGTGCGCAAACACCCCCCCAAAAGGGGGGGCCCCCCGCCCCCCCCCCCCCCGCCACACGTGACGCCGGCCGCAGGTTTCCTCTGCTGGGCGCGACATCCCAGAGAGCCGCGTTGGATGAACGGCTTGGCCTGCTGCTTCGCGGGAGGGAGGGGCCGTTCCGGCGTGCCTCCTCCGGCCTGCGGCCAAAGCGGGGGCTGCAAAAGGCCCGGCCCGCCCGTGCACCACACCGGGCTCCCCCACACGGGGACACCCACAGGGAGGCAGTGCGGCAAGCTGGGCTTGCACCCGCACCCACAGGACCCCCCCACCCCCGGGCAGGCTTCAGCCCAGTTAGGGGATTGGAGCAGGGAGAGGAGACACACTTGCTTTTGGGAGGCCCCATGACCCGACAAGCCACTCTGCGCGCGCTCAGAGTCATCCTGGCTAGGCTGCGCTCCTGGTCAGTAAAGAAAGCTTTGCACGGGAAAAGGTCTGTGGCGATTGGAGGCACGGAAGAGGAGCCCCCGGGGCAGGAGCTGGCAGCAGTCCAGCCGAGCCCTCCTGCGGGTCCCTTGCGGGCACCTGCCCGGCCACGGCCCAGCGCAGCAGCCACCCCCAGCCCGTCGCCCCCAAACTGCCGTCGGGACACGGTGGGGCTGCGGAGCCCCTGAGAGGAGAGTCAGAGGCCTTTTGCCCGGGACAGGCAAGCAGCCCCCCAGCCTTGGGGCCCCCCATTCTTGCCGTCTTCTCGCACGTGAGGAGGAAGGGGCCCAGCCAAGCGGCCCGCGCGTGAGGGAGCCAGGCAGGCCCGGGCTGCACGACCCTGCTCGCCCGGCACCGAAGGGCGCTGGGGGCCACCCCAACGGCTCTGCAGCCACAGCACCCCCTCTGCCCCAGCCCCCCGCCCGCTCGCAGGACCGCCCAGGCGCTTGTCACGCGCCAGCCTCTGAGCCCCAGCAGGCGTGGAGCCCCCCAGGGGCCCGGACGAGGCCCGCCTCCCCTGCCCTGCCCTGTCGGCCCCGCCCGGCATGGCCAGTGCCCCCCCGGCCTCCCCCCCCGGCACACACCTGCGAGCAAGAAGGTGATGAGGCAGGTCTCCCTCGGCATGTACAGCTTGAGGCGCGAGCCGCTGAAGACGAACTCCACCACAGCCTCCGAGCGGCCGGCTCGCTGCAGGAAGGGCAGGAACTGCCTGGCCTTCTGGGTGTCCTGGGGCGAGAGAGCAGGGCGGCCACCCATCAGAGTCCTGTCAGCCGCCACGGGCTACATAGCGACCTCCTCCCTGCACCCCCCATCATCCTGCCCCACAGGAAGGCTGTGACTGCGCAGAAAGCAGAAGCTGTGGCAGTGCCTCCCCCCCGAAGAAGCCTCTGGAAGGGGAGAAGGCGGGAGCGCCCTGGCTGGCTCCGCTTGGGGCAGGAGGGGCTTTGCCCAGCCGGGCTCTCCCACCCCTGAGCTCACGCGAATCTGCACCTGGGCCGCTGCAGGCGGCCACCTTCCCCCTGGAGAGGCCCGGGAGCCCAGCCCCAGCGCCTGCGGCACGGAGCCCCCGGGCGGCCATTCCTGCTGCTCTCACCTCTTTGGAAAGCTGGGCTGGGAGCGGGGAGCCAACAAGGAGCCCAGAAAGCTGAGCTCAGCCCCGAGACGCCTGGCCTGACTGCCCAGGCACTGGAGGAGGAGGGGGCGCTCGGGACCTGCCCCCTGCCGCAGTCCAGAAATCCCGCCAGGCCGAGCCTCCGTCGGGGACACAGCCGCCATGTCCTCCTGGGCCTCCCAGAGAACCGGCCAAGGCATTTGAGCCCCCGGTGCCCTCGGCTCTGGCCTGCTCCCGTGCGCTTGCTCTCCCAGGGGTCTGCTGGGCCCGCCAGGCCACCGCCAGGCCATCCTCCCCGTCCTCCACCCCGCAGCGCCTGCGGAGCCGAGAAGCCGGCAGCGCCTGGACGGAGTGGCTGGAAGGGTGGCCGGCTGGTGCCGCAAGCACCAAAAGGACCCAGCACTGACAAACGGCAGCATTTGGATCTTCGTGGCACGGAGGGTCTGCCGCGGCCCGGAAAGGTCTGGTTTGGGCTGGCCTGGGCGGGAACAGAGGCGCCCAGCTGAGCAGCCCTCCGTGGGCGTCCATCCCGGGCCTGGGCCCGGCCCGGAGGGGCTTTTGCCACAGGAGTGTACTCCTGGGGCCGAGGGGGCCGCTGCCCTGTGGAAGGAAGCACGGGGGGGCCAAGGCCAGGGACAGGGCTGGGGGCTGCACCAGGATCTTCCGGCGGGGCTGCCGCGCTCCGGCCCAGGATGGCGGGGGCAGAAGCCTGAGGAGCCTGCCCTCCCGGCTCCGTAGCTGGGGCGGCTGTGGCCCCGTCAGCAAGCCTAGCGAACCGCTGGCTGCCAAGGGGCTGCCCCAGTTCAGCTTGGAAGCGCCAGTGGGGAGGTGGGGGCCCCTGCGGGGACTGGCCGGCCCCCCTTTCTGAGCTCGCGGGAGCCCCCCGTGAAGGCAGGGCTGCCCCCTCCCAGCTCCTCTGGCAGCAGCTGCAGGAGGGAGGAGCCGGCCACCCCCCAGTGCCGCGAGACGAGCTTGAGGCAGAGGAGACCCAGGCATCGTGCGCGATTTAACCTCCCAGTCTTAATTATCTTGAAATGGAAAGCAAATTATGCATACATAGAATGGAGAAAGGTAGAATCACAACCCAGCATTTATGTGAAGCGCTGCCAATTATGCAGAATTATGCCAGACCTTTGTGGAAGGACCGGCATGTGTGCGGCTTCCCTCCCGCGCGGCTGCATCCTCGGAAGCCCGCAATGGATGGCGCGGGATTTCGAGGGGGCGTCAAGCGAGCAGGCTGGTCCCACGTGGGCCCACTCAGCAATCACCCCTGAGCTGCCAGCCGAGCCGCTCAAAGGCCGTCCAGGTGCCTTGGTGGGAGCCCGCGGGGGGGGGGGGGGGGCGCTGCTCTGCATTGGTGGCCCTGAAGAGCTGTGGGGCCTCCTCCAAGCAGCACTGGGGCGCTCCATGGCCGCTGGCATGCCAGGCTTGGGGCCAAAGAGGAGCGTGGCCGAGAGAGTGGCCGGGGGCAGCCACTGTGACTAGCCCCACAGGACCGCCCCTCTGGCCCAGCACAGGTGCACCGGAGCCCACCGTTGGCCCCTTCCCACCTGAGGCCCATGCGGGCTCAGGTGGCACCATTTCCAGTCGTGGGGCAGCACGCAGCTTCATGTGGCATGAAGGGCCAAGCATCTCCAAGCAGTCGGGGTGCTGACCCACCCGCGCCACGGAGGGCCTGGGGAGGCAGCGAGTGCGAAGGGCCAAGCCCCTCAGGTGAGGCTGGGCTCCTCGCCACCGGCCTTCCCCTGGAGGGCCGGAAGCGGGTTCTGAGCATTCCGCCTGGATACCATTTGCTGAGCTCATCCATATCGTGTCCGGGCTGGAATTCCTGCCCCAAGAACGTCCGTCTCCCCCTCCCCATCGAGCTCCATCGCAGGCGGGCAGACAGACGGAGGACAGAGCCTTGCCTTACCCCAGAGATGTCGGCCACCCGATGGATCGGCAGCTCCTTCTTGCTGTGCAGTCCCTTGCCATTCTTTATAGCCCTGTTTTGGGGGAAAGCGGGGGTCAGACGGGCCTTTCCATGGTCCCTCCCTCAGCCCCCCCCCCCGGCAAAGGCCAGCTGACTGGACGAGCATCACTGTCACTACGCAGAGACAGGATGGGGCAAAATACGCAAGAACTGATGGCAAATTCATCAATAATAGCAAGGAATTAGAAAATAAAAGGTGTATCTCAAAAAGCTGACAGGTTTAAAGAAGTCTGAAATTAGCTATTAATGATAAGTTAACTTGTAATATTAAATGGAAAAAGGTCTGATAAGTAAACATGCTTTTGAAAATATTTGGAGACCACTTATTGAATATGTTTTCATAAAAGGAAAGGGGTGCAAAACATCACAAGAGTCAGTGCAGTTCTGGAAGGGACATAGAAACATAGGAACAGAGCGAGCCAGAAGGGGTCTCCGGGGCCATCTAGTCTGACCCCCGGCTCACGACATGCCCAGCATGTGGACGTCCAGCCTATCCTTGAACACCCGCACTGATGGGGCCTCAACCACCTCCCGGGGAAGCCCAACCCATGCCCTGGGGGCCCTATTTGTCAGGAAGGACTTCCCGGCATCCACCTCGGCCCTTGCTTCCCTGGGCTCAGCTCCCCCGGAGCGTGTCCTGCCCTCCTCCGCAGTGGGGCAGGCTGAACGAACAAACCATCTTACATTAAGTGACGTGATTTGTTGGTCCCGGTGGAGGTAGCGCTGGCATCGCTGCATTGTTTAATCTTGTTTATGAGTAATACTTAATTATGTTCATTGCTATTACATCAATTGTATTGGTTTTGATAGTTTAATTAATTAAAAAATAAAAGAGAGGGAGGAAGGCCTGCTCGCAAGGCAGAAGCGTCTTGGCGTGTGCACACCTGAGCTGCTGCCAGATTGAGCTGCCGCCCGGCTGTTCCTTGGGCCTGGCTTAGCCCAGGGCGGGCTGTGGATGCCCCGCCTTCCCGCGCTTGCCCTGCAGTGTCGGCCTCCGCGACTACCTGTTTGCAGGGGCGGGCTGTCCCGGGGTGCAGGATGCCCAAGTTCAGAACAGCCCGTCCTGGTGAACGAACGGCCATAAACCCGATTCAGGTGAAAGCTCTTGCGGAAAGTCACCATCACCGCTGAGAGAGAAAGCGAGGGGGGGCTCCACAGTGCCTCCGCTGCCCCCGCATCCAGAGGGAAACCCCTCGGCCTTCCTTGCTGCAGAGAGGTGGCACCAGGGACTTGGGGGGCGGCAAGGGGGCTAGATAGTCACAGTCTTCTCCCTTTCGTGGGGGCGAATGTGGAGGGCAGAGTCCACGATTCGACTTACATAGAAATTTGACTAAAGGCTGAATTTCCATTTTTTCTGGAACACAACTTGTTCATAACCTGGGAACTGCCTGCACATCGGGAGGTCTTGAGAGCTAGAAACGTGAAGTGTGTTGCTTTTGTTCTGTTGCTCAGAAGAACTGGGTGCTTTCAAGGTCCCGAGCTGTCACCCAGGTGGGGGAATTCTGTGCTGAGGGTGGAGAGGAGCCACCGCAGAAACGCAGGCGCCTAGAGCTCTGCTCCTGGGCACCGTGCCTGGCTGGGGCAGCCTCAAAGCAAGACCTGCAAGGACGGGGCCGCTGCCAGTGCGGCCTGCTGGAGACACAGGGGGTGGCTGCGCCTGCATGAGCCCTGGACGTGCCAGGGCCATGTGCCGGTGGCAAGCGAGGCGGCCCTGGCAGGGCTACAGCAGGTGCCCAGCCCGGAGAGGCCCGGGCAGGCCTGTGGCTGCCCCTCTGGGGTCCGTGAAGGGTGGGAGGCAGGGGACGGAGCCCCGCACAACTTCCCGGCCCCACGCCGGCCTCGCTGGGCCCCACGTGGGGCTCCTGGGCTGGCAGCCTTCCCGGGCTCCTCCCCACAATCGGTGGAGGCGGGCGCGTTTCCAGGCACTTCCTCCTGCAGCCTGTTCCTGCGCCGGGGCCAGCTGCTAAGCTTTCCTTGCAGCTGCCTCCTCTCTCCCACCCAGACCTCCCGCCCGGAAAGCGAGGGCTCGCCCGGCTGCCAATGCACCTCCTCCTCCTCCAAGAACAGCCACGGCTTCCTCCTGCCGCTGATTTCTGCCTCGCCTGGCTGTTCCCCTCCCCAAGAGCCGGAATCCCCCTGCCCCTCTGGGCTCGCTTCGGCTGAGCCGGCCTCCCGCCCGGCCTCGGCGGGCGCCAGTGGGGGGCGCATCTCTGAGCTGCTGGCCAGCCTAGGGCCACACCGGGGAGAGGGCCTGCCCAGGGACCGGCTGCTTCTCAGAAGCCAGCCCAGCGAAGGCCGGGGCCGCACGGCTGCAGAGGCGGCATTCGGTCCGGCTGCCCATCCGGCCTGCCTGTTCTCCACAGCACTGCCCCGGGAAGCACACCTGCGAAGGGCTGGTGGGGGGGTGGGACACACGCAAGGAAGCATTTGCTGGGCAACAGGCGCCCCATCCCATTGCTGAATACATGCTGGGGCTCCAGAAGGTGCAGGGGGAGGCAGAAGGAGCGGAAGGACCACGTCTCCGCTGTGACGCGCAGAATGAGCCACTGCCCTGGTCCGTGTCTGGCTCAAGCACCCAGAACAATCCGGCACGTCGGGAGGATTTCGCCTGAGCACATGGTGCACGTTCGGCGCGGGCGGCTTCGGGGGCACGCTCACACTCCTGAGAGCAGCGGTCAGCGCAGGCCCGCCGGGCAAGGAGGAGCCGGCCCACCGGAGGCCACCGATCCGGAAGGTGCGCGGCCTCCAGGGCCTGGCTGGCCTTTGCGCGCAATACGCATGTACCCCCTTTCTGCAAGCATCAGCCAAGCTGTCTAAAATTCCCACACTGGCCTCACGTGCCATTTTTGGTAGAAGGGCAGGATATAGAGAATAAACAAAAATAAACCCGATGCCAACAAGCAACACCGAAAGGACGTACGGTCCGCGGCCCGTGGCCTTTTGACTTTTTCCTGCAGCTGCTGGAGGTCAAGCGACTTGCTCGCTCTCCCATTCTCAGCGCAACCAAAGGGGAGCCAGAAAATGAAGGGGGGCCTGCCGGAAGGCCTCCCCCCACGCAGGTGCTGGAAGGGTCCCCCTGCAACCGCAAAATGAGCGCACACGCGGTGCCACCGAATGGGCACCGATCCCCCGCAGGTGCCAGAGGAAGCCGGGTTGCACACGGCAGCCGGCCTGGACGCCCCCGCCTGCTCCACAAGGCCGCCCACTTCCCCCCAGAGGCCCTCACAGCGGGCTGCGGGGCACCCTCGCGCATGGCTGCCGGAGGTCCGCCACACATGGCCCCAGCCGGGCTGCCAAACGCCGAGGCACACGGTGCCAGCAGCCGGCTGTGCTCCCCAACTGTGCGCCAGCTCTGAGCCGGGAGCCAACGGCTCCTTGGGGTCAGCAGACAGGCGGGGGAGCGCGTGGGTGTCCCCAGACTCAAGGGAAAGGCTGGAAGGACCGCTGCCTGCGAGGCCAGGAGGGGCCACCAGCAGCTTTTCGGCTGGAGGAGAGCAGCCCCGGGCACAAGGACGATTTTAGGATAGGAACGGGCTTCCAAGGGAGGTGGTGGGGGCCCACCTGTGAGGGTGTTCAAGGAAAGACTGGACAGCCACAGGGTGGGGATTAGAGCGAGCGGAGCCCCTTCTGGCTCGCTTTGCTTCTACGCTTCTGTTTCATCCCGTCTTCCCGCCGCACACATAGCCAGGCTGCAGAAGCCCCCAGTGCCCCTCCAGGCCGCCGTCAGCTGGCCGGCTCCCCCAACACTCACCGGGCCTCGGCTGCCAGCAGCTCGTCGTAGTGCGAGGAACGCTGGTCGTCGTCCTGCCGGTAGCGGATGACTGTGGCCAGCCCCTTGCTGACCAGGGCTTCTGCGATGTTGCTGCAAGACAGCAGAGTGGGCGGTGAGCCCGAGGGCAGCGGCAGGGAAGGCCCAATGGACCCCACTCTTCCATGGGCAGCCCCACACGGCGAGCGCTGGGGCACACCTGGCCCCGAGGGCAGCGGGAGCCGGTGCGCCTGAGAGGAGCCACGCCGCCGGCCCGGGGCGGCGGACTCCTTGTGCACGGGCTCAGCTCAGCCTGGGACTCGGGTAGGGGAGCGCTTGTGCTGCCGGCCACCCTCCACTCCTTGCCAGAGTGCCCGGCTGCCCTGCCAGGGCGGGTGGCAGAGTGGCCGGTGCCTCGGGACACCGCAGCTACGTGCCGGGCCGGGTGGCCTTCGGGTGCCTCTCAGGGCGAGGCCTTGTGCTCTTCTGGGACTGCACCCACTACCTCCCCTTTCATCCCATCTCCTGGGGCTGCACAGTCCCTGCTTCCTTCAAACCCAGCTGCTTTCACCAGGCTCGGCCCCTCCTGCTCTCCCCCCGCTAAACAGCCGAGGACCAGCAGCCCAGCCAGGCATCTGCTGCCTCCTGCTTCCGAGACCTTCACAGGCCCCATGAGAAGCCCCAGAATCCCCGGGAGTCCACTTCCATGTTGTCCCAGGTCCGAATTCCCCCTCCACCACGGGCAGGGGTCTTCGCGGACCACAAGGCTGCCTGGCTTTCCTGCACACGAGGGAAAGTTCCACGGCCATCGCCTCGCCCTCCCCACGCGGGCTGGCTGCCTGGTTCCGCAGCAGTGCCTTGCAGAGCCAGGACAGTGGGCCTCGGCCTTGGGTCCCAGGCATCCGCCCACCTTTGGGGAGGGATGCACGGAGGGGCCGGGCCTGGTGAGCCTTCATTGCCCGGGCCTAGACAGAGCAGCCTTGAGCACCATTAAGAATGGGCAGGCGAAGGGCACTCTCTCCCCGTTCTGCAGCCGGTGGAGGACAGAGCAAGGCTCTCCGGGCCGGAAGGGCTCCCCGGGAGCTGGGTCTGTCTGCCAGGCAGGGGCCGGGCCGGGCTGGGAGGGCTGCAGCTCCCTGGAAGGCAGGGCACCGGGACCCGAGCATGGGGGGTGTGCAGGCTGCAGCGGTGCTGCCCCGGAGTCACGCTGCCTCCCCACAGGGCTCCTGTCCAGCGAGTGCCACTGGATCGGCCCCACGGCTGAGACCCCACACACAAAAGCAGGGCTGCCACGCGGCCCTTTCCTCGTGGGGACGGGGGGGCTTCTTGGCTCATCCTCCGCGGCTGCAGCTTGCCCCCCTCCCCGGCACAGACGCGGCCTCCGGCCCTTCTGTCCTGCCCGCAGCACAACGGGGGTGTGTGAACACGCGCTCTGCCCGGGGACAGCCGCCTCGCGGGCGCAGGCTGGGCACACGGTGCGGGGCCAACCCGAGGCAATGCGCGCTCCCGCAATCCTGCGGCGACCCACGGAGCTCGGCTCCGAGCCGCAGAGGGGGCTCGGGGAGGCAGGAGGGCAGGCCAAGCTCCTCCGGGAGCCAAAAATAAACTGGGCTGCGACGGGGGTGGGGGGCTTGGCAACCGAGGAAACGGGCTGCCAAGAGGAGGTGGCAGCTGCCGAGGCGCGTGGCGAGATGCCAGGCGATCGTGGCCGCGCGGCACCTCCTCTTCCCGGCACACGGGGGGCGGGCAGCCGCGCGGCACGGGCAACCCACGCATCACTGTGCCCCCCCCCCCCCGCCGAGCCGGCTGCCCCCGGACCCCAGGCTGGGCGGGGGTAGGACGCACGGAGTCTGGTTGAGGGGAGGAAGGCTCCAGGCAGTGCTGGGAGAAGCTGCTCGGAGGTGGCAGGGAGCGTGCCCACTCCTAGCCGACGGGCAACAAGCAGCCCCCTGATTCTTGCCCAAGACAACAGGGCTCACAGGGGCCTCCGCCACACACGCCCACGGGGGGTGGAAGGGGAGGGCGGCTCTCCAGCCCAAGCAAGCCAGAGAGGAGCCGCGACCCCGCACTGCAGGGGTGCACCGGAGCCCTGGCAGAGCTGCTGCCCTGGGGTGGGAAGCCCCTCCCATGCCATGCCCCCTTCCTCCTGCTCGGGGAGCACAGCCAAGCTCCCAGAGGGGAAGGTCCGCCCACCCCCGTCTCCCTCGCCCAAAGGCTCAACAATCCGGACACCAGGAAGTACTTCCCCACAGTTAGGACCCCTGGGGTACGCAATGGGCTTCCACGGGAGGGTCAAGGACAGGCTGGACATGCACTTGGGAGGCCTGTCAAGACTGGTGCCGGGGGCCAGACTAGATGGCCCGGGAGGCCCCTTCTGACCCGCTGTTTCTGTGTGTCTAACTTCACAAAGGATGCTGGGCCCCCTGGGGCCACCTCCCGGCATGGGCAGCATGTGAAGACGTGGGAAGGGCCGGGGCTGCTGGGCTCCAGCCCGGCAGGGTCTGGCCTCCTCTTGGGCTTGCCCAGTTAAGCCCCATTTTGGGAGCAGGGCTGCCCGGGAAGGAGCCCCCCGCGCCCTGGGAAGAGCCCGCAGGCTGCGGCAGGCCTCTCCAAAGCAGCCCCAGCCCAGGAGCTCCTCCCCAGAGGGCGCCAAGGTCGCAGAGTCGCACAAGGCAGCTGCGAGAACGGCCCGGCCAGGAGGCGCTGCCTGCCTTCTCCCAGCGAGGTCCCCAGGGGTTGTGGCCACAGGAAAACAGAGCCAGTTGCAAGCCCAGAGGTGGCCACAGAGCCGCATGAAAACCACCTGGGGGCCTGCTGCTTCTGCTTCCAGTGAAACTGAGTTCACAAGATCATAGAATCGTAGGGTGGGAAGGGGCCACAGAGACCATCGGGTCCACCCCCTGCTATTGCCAGACACCAAGTTACATCACCCCACTCAGAGGGCTGTCCAGTTTCTTCCTGAAGTCTCCGATGTGGGAGAGTCCCCACCTCTCCAGGCAGCTGCTTCCACTGCGTGTTGCTCTGACAGCGAGGTAGCTTGTTCTGATATCTAGCCTGAATCTGGGTTGTTACAGCTTGAATTGATTATTCCGTGCCCTGCACTCTGGCACCAGCAGGAAGAGAGCCTGACCTTCCTCTCTGTGACAGCCTTTGATGTACTTATAGAGGGATCCCATGTGCCCCCTCAGTCTCCTCTTCTCGAGGCTGAGCAAGTCCAGGCCTTTCCCTCGCTCCTCACGGGGCCCTGCTTTCAGCCCCCGGATACTCTCTGCCCTTCCCCGACCCGTCTCCTGTCTGCCTCCCTCTTTCGTGAAGTGTGCCGCCCGGACTTGGGCGCAGGACTCCAGTTCTGGGCAGCCAGGGGAGGCCTGAGCAGTGCTGAGGAAAATGGAACTAGGACTTGGTGGGATTTGGAAGAGATCCTTCTCCTAATGCAGCCTAAAAGAGCATTTGCCCTTTTTACAGCCACATCACACTGTTGACTCATATTCAGCTTGTGATCTACAGTAACTCCAGGATCCTTCTCACTTGCAGTCTTGTTGAGCCTCGTAAATCCCATCTTGGGACTGTGCCTTTGGTTCCCTTTTCCCAGGTGCAGGACGTGGCCCTGGTCCCTGCTGAATTTCACTCGGTTGTGTTCAGCCCGGCACTCCATCCTTTCATGATCCCCTCCAGGGCACTGGCTGTTCCACCCCATTCTGTGTCCTCTGCAGACCTGAACCTCGTTCCCCACTTCTCCACATCCAAATCATTAATGACCATGTGGCGAAGCACCGGGCTCCTGACCCCTGCGGCACCCCACTTGCCGCCTCTCCCCAGTCTGAGAAGGTACCACAGATGAGCACTCCCTAGTCCGATCCTGCGGCCCACTCTGGGGCCACCTCACCCTCGCTCCATCCGGCCCACTCGGAGCCAGTTTGCTAATCGGGGAATCACAGGGCGCCTTGACGAAGTCAAGATATAGTATGCCTGCTGCATTCCCACAGTCCACAGGGGAGGTCGCCCAATCCAGAATAAGAGCAGGTTAGTGTGGAAAGACTTGCTCTTGATGACTCCATGCTGGCTTCTAATCTCTCCATTGTTTTCAAGGTTCTTACAGACCGACTCCTGTATTATCCGCTCCAGAACTTTCTCAGCACCTCCCTTTTGGAGGACAGGGACATCATCTGCCCCCCCCCCCCGTCATCCGACACTGCTCCCCTCCTCCATGACTCCTCAGCGGCCACAGACAGTGGTTCTGGGAGCGCTGCTCCCCTTCTTGATTCCAGGCTGCCATTCGCCAGGCCCGGGAGACTCAGACTCACTCAACAAATCAGGGGCTCCTTGACAGTTTGCTTATTAAGCTTCATTCCCAATCCGGCAGCGTGTGCTTCATTTCCCCCAGGTGGGTCCCAGACCTGCTTCTGGGAAAAGACTGAGCGCTCCAGCCTGTTCTAGGCTGCGCGTCAGTCGGCCAGCCCTTCTTCGGTCCCTTGTCACAGGCAGCCACTGCTCCCCACTCCAAACCCGGGCAGCTCCTCCGAGAGGACACATCACGGCCAGTGGTACTGAAAACGCCCAGGTGCCAAAAATAGCCCCCGGTCATCCCACAGGGCAACCAAAACCATTTCGGAGCCAAAAACAGGCTCAACACCAGTGTGGAACCCATCCCCTCGATCAGCTTCGTCTCGGGTGCCTGGAGCGGGCCAACCACCGCCTCCTCGAGGAGCTTGCCCAGCAGAGGAACATTCGCTACCAGCCTGAAGCTGTCAAGGTTTTCCCACCCGGAGAGGGTCTCTGAGGAAGCGGTCTTGCCGCCCCTCCTCCTGGCCAGCCTGAGGATGCTCCCTCGGCAAAGAGGCCCTGAGCGCTGGCCGGCATGCACTCTCCTCCCAAAAGGAAGCTGCACCTTCCTGAGACCCGGAAGTGACCTCAAAGGGACTGGCAGCCCGGGCAGGTAAAGACGGGGCTAGAGAACACGGGGCGACGTCAGATGCGCCTCCTTCTCCCAGGCCAGAGAAGCCGGGGGTGGGGGGGCAGTGCAGAGTGTATGCCAGGAAACAGTTGAGCAGCCTGCTGGTGCCCCGGGCAAGCCCTGGTCAAACAGATCACCAAGCCCCAAAGGGATGCTTCAGTGGCCATTGTTCAGTGACAGCAGCGTGGGTTTGCCAGGGAAGCCGCGACAAGCCAGGCGCAGTCCGCAGCCTTCCCCACAGCTGCAGCTTCAGACGCGGGAGCGCTGCAGACGGCCGCACCCTGAGCCGAGCCGAGCCGAGCCCCTGACACAGTCACCAAGGACTCCCCGGCCGGCCAGGAGCTCCTCACTCGGCTGGCCAACGCTGCTGCTAGGTAGACCCACGGCTAACGGGACCCCGGACCCTCCAGTGGCCCGTGGCAACGAGCGGGATGGTCCCAGGCTTTCAGGCCCTGGGACTGGGGAAAGGGCCGCCCCCCCCCCCGGCGCCTCGGTGGCCCTCCCAGCCTGGCACCGCCACCCGGGGGAGTACTCACATGCCGCCGATGGTGACCGTGGCACAGGTGCGCTCCAAGAAGGCGGGCACGGTGTCCGTCGCACCGCTGGCCGGCCGGATGTAGTCCACTGTGACGTTCACCTGCAAGGGAGGCGAGGCAGGCGACAGGTGGGCGGAGGACCAGGAGGGCAGCCGCGCCGTGCATCTTTTCAACTCGCAGCGACTGCCCCGAGAGCCTCAGCTCTGGGGCAGCATGGCCTGTGGGTGCCCCACACCTGAATGGGGCTTGACTCCACGCCCACTATGGGATACGCAGAGCCAGCAAGCATGCTGGGGCAAAACCCGTGGGCCGGGAGGCAGGACTGGCACCCCCACAGAAGCGCCGCTCTCTGGGGGGACGCTCCGCCTTTGGGCCCGGCCCGGCCTGGCAGTGCTTGTGTGCGCCAGACTGAAGGGCGCAACCCGACCCGCGCCTCCAGCCCCAGCGGTCCGCCCCACACCCCGGCTTCCTGGTTGGCGGCCTCCCAACCGAGGATGCTTTTGCACGCCCCTGCAGCGGTGGCAGCGTGTCGCACAGCTAGCCGGCCTGGCATGCTGCAAGCATTTGGAGGGAAACTCTGCTGGCCATGACAGGGGGAGCCTTTGGCCTCTGGAGCTGAGAGAGCTGCCACCAGAAGAGGCGGAGGGCCTGCCAGGCCGAGAGAGCCCCAGTGCTGGCCCTTGGGCCGCAGGGGCCGGGCCTGGCGCACACGCCGGCCCACTTTTCATTTCAGCCGCTTGCCACTTTCCAACCACGGGGGGTGGGCGTTCCCATGAAAGCGTGAGGACCAGATGGGCAGGTGCTCCGCACACCCCGCCCTTCACTTTGACATGCAGGCCGCAGCGGGGGAAGCCGAGCGGGGCATCCATCCGCACCCCGGGCCATGCTAGCGAAGGCGAGGACCTCAGAGGGGAGGAGGGACGAGGCAGCTCTCGCCAGCGCTCCCCATCGGTCTGAGCGGGCGCGTGCACGGCCCGGCAGCCCTCAGGGGTCTTCTCCGTCGCTCCGAGCATCCACGGGCGGCCTTTTGCTGCCGTGAACGTGAGGAGCACAGCAACACAGACAGCACACCAACCCGGTTCACTGGATGCCCACGTAAACAAGCTGCCCGTGGAGCAGGCGCCTGCAGGGCCGATGCCAGGACACGGCGTAAGCCTTGGGGGAGGCCACCCGAGACCCCGGGCCTTGTGCACAGCCCTTCCAGGGCCTCCGCAGCGGGGGGTGGGCAGCGGTCCTGCGGCAACCTGGGCCCAGCCACCCTGGGCGGCTGGGGCAAAGCCAGCCGAGGTCTCGTGGGGCGGCCATCCGTGCCCATCCCTGCACGTCCAGCCGGCAGACTCACGGCTGGATGTCGGACGGCATCTCCCAGCCGGGCCCCCGGAACACACGGCTGCCCTCTGGAATGAGATTCCCGAGCCTGGCCACTGTGGCCTGCCTCCGCTTTCCAGGAAGGGCAGTCACCGGCAAGCTGCCCGGTACCGGGTCAAGGCAGTGTGCCGCAGACGGCTCCTGAGGATCCCCACTGGTCTGCTCAACCGGAGAGCCACCCAAGGACACCACCAGCGGGGCCACCGGCGCTCAGGCGCAAGGCCACTGGGAGCGCTTGCAAGGGTGCGGGAGAAGCGCGGCCGAAGGAGGCCTTCGGGGGCACCGCTCCAAGATGACAGCGGCCTCCCGTGCCCCCAGCTCCCCCCGCTGCACGTTGTCCAGCAGGTTCCATCGCGGCGGCGGGAGGCAAAAGCAGCCACAGACGGGCGAGCTTCAGGCGCATCTTCAAAATCCCTTCAGACCGACAGCTCTTCTGTGAGAATTGCTTTTAAATGAGCAAGAAAATGCAAGGAGGTACGGCGGCATCCAGGACTCCTGCTGGCAGATCACTCGCTCACATGGCACGTCTAATAATGCTCCGTGCACGATGGGAAAGGGGGATCTGCCGGGGAAAAGCCCACGGGGGGGAGGGGCTCAAGTGATTCCGCGCAGTGAAGCTGTGGTCTCAGCAGGTGGGTGGGGGGTGAGCCGAGACCCCAGGAGGCGGGTCTGGAGCCGGGGCGGCTGAGGGGCCCTCGCAGCAAGGAGGGCCTGGCAGGAGACTCGCCTGCCACCAGGGAGGAGAAATGGGCCTCCAGGGAGGGGAGAGGGCCTGCAAAGGGGGGTGCTGGGCAGCCCCCCAGGACGAGACACTCTCGGGAGCCACTCTGCCCCCCGGACCTGGGCCAGCCCCCACCCTGGGCAGCAGCAGCCCCTCCCAGTCCCCCACGGCCCTGTGCCAGGGCACCTGGCGGACACCCGGCCTGCCCGGAGCCCCCTTCCGCGCATTCCCGTGTGGGCACAGCCCACTCCCTGCCAGCGCGCCGTGCGAGAGCCACAGCGCCTTCTGCCCTGCGAGGAGGCACCGTGGCCAGATCCCCCGCACCTTCCCGCTAGACATTTTACAAAGCTGAAATGCCAAAGCCATCAATGAAGTGCAGCGGCACAACCACAGAGAGGGAAGCGGCCGGCGCCACAGAGGGCCATGCGATGCCAAGGGCTCCCACAGAACCCCAGAACTCCCTGCGAGGACGCCCCTCTTCACGCAGCCACCCAAACCCGGCACCGAAGCCGCTTTCCGCAGGGGCGCCTGAAGCACACGGGCTGGACCTCTGGCTGCCCCACCCGGGCCCCGAGCGGGACAGGGTGGTCAGCGAAGGGTCCCTCCAAAGGGGCCGACAGGAAAGCAGGCAGCCTCCTGGGAAGGAACTGCGGCTGGGAAAGAGAACTGCACTAACCGCTTGCCCGGCCCGGCCCGGCCCCTTCTGATGGAGCAGACACGCCAGCCCGGGTGCGCCACCTGCTCCCAGCCCAGCCCGCATCACACAATCACCGTGCCCGTTCCTTTCCCGTGAAAGAGGCAGCGAGGGCTGTCTCCCCGCCATCTGCCATGGCTCTGCTCCCACGAGGCCAGCCACACAAAGGACTGCCTCCAGTGGCCTGCGCAACTGTCCCCGAAGCACATGCAAATCACCTTAAACTTGGCTGGCCAGAAGGAGCAGAAAATGTGCCCAGTTCAGCTGCGCTCTGATCAGCCCTTTTCCACGCACCCTCCTCTCCTTGGGCCTCCTGCACCAGGGCTGGCAGAGGGCTGGGCAGCAGCACGGGCCTGCAGGTCCCGGCCCGGCTCCCCTCAGCGAGGCCGCTCAAGCCCCCGGGGCAGCAGGGCATGAGCTGACCCACAGGGAGCTTGCCCTCGGCCGCTCCGGAAATAAGGGCGAAGAGGGGCGCTCCGACGAGCTGCTGCCCTGCCCCACCGCAGGGCCCACCTGGAGCCCCAGGCTGCCGCCACCCTCCCAGCAGCCTCAGGAGACTCCCTTTCAGACAGGGGCTGAGGGTGGGCCAGAACAGGGCAGGCCGGGCCCCCCACACTCAGCGCCACAGCGGGGCCAGGCGCACGGAGCAGAGAACCGCCACGCTGGGAGCGACAGCGGGTTGCCCGGCCCAAGCTCCTGCTCGGTGCCCGGGGCCAAGCTCAACCCTCCGCCGAGGCCACCCGCGTCCTCCGGTGCGGGAGGGTTCGGCCGCCGGCTCCACCGCCACACCGCTCCCTCGGCCAGGAAGCCTTGCCTGGCTTCTAGCTGCAGCCCTCGAGTACTTGCAGGGCGCTACCCAGTCTCTGCCCAGTCTCTCTTCTCGAGGCCGAACATGCCCAGTCCTTTCCTTGGAACGGGCTTCCCCGGGAGGTGGCTGAGGCCCCCTCGGTGCGGGTGTTCAAGGACAGGCTGGACGTGCAAGTGGTGAGCATGTCGTGAGCGGAGCCGGCTGGAGCCGGGGGTCAGACTAGATGGCTCGGGAGGCCCCTTCTGACTCGTGCTGTTTCTATGCCTCTCCTCACAGGACTTGTTCCCGTTCCCGGATCGTCCTTGCTGCCCTCCTCTGTATCCTCCCTGCTTGTCTGCATCTTTCTTCAACTGTGGTGCCCAGAAATGGCCACAATACCCAAGACGGGGCCTAACTAGCCCTGACCAGAGGGGAACAAGGGCTTCATGGGAGCTGGAAGTGATCCTACTATTAATGCAGCCTGAAAAAGCACTGGCCCTTTTTGCAGCCGCATCACTTCGGTGACCCATGTTCAGCTTGTGACCAGCAGCACCTCCAGGATATTTCTCGCTGGGCGTATCGTTGAGCCAAGTGTTTCCCATCTCGTGATGAGGCATTTGGTTCCTTTTTCCCAGGTGCCGAACTTGGCACTTGTCCCTGCTGTTCTCAGTCCAGAGCGCCAACCTGTCAAGGTCACCTTGAAGCTTCTTTCCGTCTCCCAGGGTGGTAGCGATCCCACCCAGTTTTGTGTCATCTGCCAATCGCGCCCCGCACTCCCTCATCCAAAGCATGGATACAGATGCTGAGGAGCACCGGGCCCGGGACGGACCCTGTGGCGCCCGACGAGTGGCCTCCCGCCAGTCTGAGGAGGTGCCTCTGAGGAGCACTCCTCCTGAGCAGCACTCCCGCGGTGGATCCACCGGATGGCTGCTCCATCCAGCCCACTCTGAGCCGCTGAGTCCTCCACGTGCCAGTCGGGATATCATGAGGTGCCCCGTCAAAATCCTTGCTGAAGTCAAGACCAACCGTGTCCATGGCATTCCCCCAGTCCATCGGGGGCGGGGGGGGGGGGTCCCAGTCAAAAGATGCAGTTGGCCTGGTCCGGGAGAGGCACCTCCTCCACGAGGCGCGGCTGCCACCGCCCAGCCCTCCCCTTGCCCGGCCGCTCCCTGCGCCAAGCACGCCAGCCCCGGCAGGGGGGCGAGGGGACCGCACCACATCTTCCCCCCACAAGGACTTGCCCAGAGATCCAGGGGTCCGACCAGGCTCCTGCCCACAAGATGCTCCAGGCTCCCCTTGGCCCGGGGAGGCAGGCGCCGCCCACTCGGTCACGAAAGAGGGCTTGCTCCCGCTGGGCCAGGGCCCGACCCACCTGCTCTTGGCTGCCGTTCCCTGCCTCGACCCTCCTCACGCTGGGGTGCGGGGGGAGATACTCTGCATCTCTGCCAGGCCAGGGGTCCCTCTGCTCACAGCACAAGGCTCAAAGGCCACATGGACTCAGATTCAGACGCGGAGCGTGCAGCAGATCAAA